CGCACCTGGCTTTAACGGACCCCCTAAATTTAGGATAGATTAGTGGAGCAAAAAAATTTAGGGTCGGAATAAGCCGGAATTGATAAATTTCTTCCAAAATCTTACTAATGAAATGGTAGCCCATGTACTAAGTAAAACTGCCTAGATGATAATTTTGCTGTAGTATAGTTGACTTGTATTATTTATTAATGCCGGCCTAGCTCCGGGTCTATTCCGACCCTAAATTTTGGTCGATCTGCTAAATTTTGGTTGCTCCACTAATTTATCCATTTATTTTTTTAAGAAAAATTTTTAAGAAAAATTTTTAATATGGCAAAGATTGACTAAAAAATTTGACCAGGTTTAACAACATCGAACTCAATCAACGAACAAATCGGAATTGCATTAAATGCCTCAACATATTAAAGCTATTCTTTAGTATATAAATTAGTACAAAATTTGTTCGATAATCTAAACCCATTTCTTTCGTTATAAGACTTAAACAAGATCGAATACCTATACACAAATACAAGAACGACTGATTATATACAGCAATACAGTTTCTATTGGCTTTTTATTGTTACGTTTTATTTTTTTACACTATTATATTCTTTATTAACCGATTTCGAATATTTAATATTTGATAAATTTACTAAATGTAGTTAATGTGTTAAGAATAAAGTCGTTTTTCAAATCTTTGCAAAATAAAAATAGAAAATAGTTAATAATAATATTTACATGAATATTCATGAATATTCATTGTACTTTAAATTGCTCAATACTCACGAATATAAACCATGCACGCCACCTTCGACTTGTGCAGCAACGGTTCTCAATTCAAATCTTAATTTACCAGATTCAGCATTTTCCCATAACTGACCTATATTCTTAACTCCAATATCTTGTAATGCATGTTGCAATCCGGTCATTAAATAGGGAACAAACTTTCTAATACTACCCTTGTCAACAACAGCACCAGCAACACCTTGTGCAACTTTAATAACGTCTCTTTCAGAAAAATATCTACCTGCGGCAGTATTATTACTATTCGAACTTGCGCCGCAAACGTTTCGTTCCATTGCATCCAACGAACCCATGCCACGATATTTTTTTAGTCTCTGACCTTCATGATAAAAATAATCTCCGGGAGATTCAGTGGTACCAGCAAGTAGCCCACCCATCATTACAGAAGAAGCTCCAAGAGCTAAAGCTTTCGTAGCATGACCAACATTTTGAATACCACCATCTGCAATTACTGGAATACCAAATTTTTTGGCAAATTGAGAGACCATGTATACAGCAGTTCCTTGAGGACGACCTACTGCCATAACTAAATAAAGCATAACGTCAAAACTAATGATAAATATTAATCAAGAGAAAAATAAATTAAATCATAAAATATCAACCTTCCTGTGTAATGCATATACTGCCACTACCCATGCCGACACGCAATGCGTCAGCACCAGCTTCAATCAAACGAGCCGCTTGCTCTCGAGTGACAACATTACCAGCGATGACATCAAGCGTTTCACCATATGTTTTTTTGATATATTGTATCATTTCAACTTGGTATGATGAATTTCCCTGACTAGAATCCAATACTACAATATCTAATCCTGCATCAACCAGCTTTCGAAGTCTTGCTTTATCTTCGAATCGAGTTCCAATGGCTGCAGCACAAATCAATTGCTTCGAGTGGGGAGACTTTGATGCCAGAGGAAAATTAAGATTTTTAAGCAAATCGGACCTGGCAAGTAATGCAACCAATTCACCACGAGCATTGACAATCGGT